GATAGATAGATAGATAGATAGATAGATAGATAGATAGATAGATAGATTTTTTGTATCAAGCTGTTTCTTGACGTAATTTTACCTCATCTTAATACATTATTATTATAATTATCATAATTATTATTAATATTATTATTACAACATTTATTGTTTTCTGCCTAAATAAAGGGTTGAAATGTGGTTTACGTTTGAGCAGCATTTTCTACCTATTGTTATACTCCACATTAAACTTATTTTATTGGTTTTGAAGCTGTTTTCAAGACCAAATAATTATTCAGAATTAAGTCATCAACGATTACCTTTCTTTAAAGGTGCACTATATATAAAATAGTGACATCTAAAGACTATCATTGCTATTAAACTACCACATTAGCCCTAAAATTATTGTTAGAACCACTTAAGTTGCTCCTAAATGCTGTTGAATGAACGGTGTTCAATATTAGACTTAAAACAGTCCAAATCTTTTTGACAGTTTTTATTTGCATTTGGAAAAAAACTCCACTTAAACTTTCTTTCGAAACTCATAAACTGTGGTTAGTTCTGTGGAACGGAGTGAAAAAGCAACCACTGATCTGAGCGGTACTCACTCTTCTGAGTTGGAGCTGGACTGTCCTCCGGGAATCATCCCCTGCCACAGCTGGAAACACACACACACAGATACACAACCATGACAAAACGCACAGCAACGTCTTCAGTTGTTGTTGTTTTGTCTTCCTTGAGTCTTGTTGCAGGAGCTCCTACAGGTTCTCCACATTTATTACCCACAAGGAACAGTGTCCTTTGGTTGTATGGTCTTGTTGTCGTTCTTTCTTTCTTTCTTTTTTTTCCCTTTCTCTCTCTTTCTAAAGGATCTCTCTCCTTTCCGCTGCTCTTCTTTCTTCCCTGTGAGGTTCGGCATCATTGGACATATGTAAGTTTGGTAACAAAAAATAATAAATAAACTAGTTTTGGGTAATCAAGGGGGGCTTCTCACTAACAAAGCCTCCTTTGGCAGAGCAATTTTGTTCATTATAGCACTCAGAATACTCAGATTTAACCCTGTAATGCCAAATTTATGAAATGTTTTGCGTCTGACACCTTTTGCATAATTTAACGGTAAAAACTTTAATCAAAATCCTATTGTACACAATCAGATATACCTGATAACAGGGGGCAGAAGACTACACAAAAAATAATCTTGATTTATCGCATAGTCATAAATTATTAATATAAAAAATGTGTTTCTGTTTTTTCTTTTTACATATTTTGTTAAAAGGAATTCAAACAAAAAAAAAGTAATTTTCTGTTTTGTTTTATTCTTGGATCAGGCTTTAAAGTGTAGTTTAAAGTTTCTGCTGCCGTAATGCGGAACAGGACAAGGTAAAAAAAAAAATCGAAAAATGAATAAAAAATGTTTTAAAAAAAGGCCCCCGTACCTGTGCGTTTGCGGGGAAGCTGGCCCTCACGATCCCGGGCAGCAGCTTGCTGTGGATGGCGGTGGCGGAGACGATCTGGGCCGAGGACATGGACGAGATGCTCTGCAGGGCCTTGTCTTTGGCGCTCTGGTCCTGCACGGAAAATCACACGCCGTCACTCATTGTAAACGACACAGCGGAGGAATCTGGAATCCCTCGGAAAACCAAAAGCCGAATCCCACACAGGCGTCGAACCTTAGGGCTCGTTTATAGAGAATCCCAACAAAAAGGCAACACGGAGCACAAAACCGTGGCAGGAAATAGAATTAGAGGCACCGTGATGGCGGCAGAATCACTAATTGGCAGCTTCACTCAAGTTAATTGGCACTGAGAGAAATCTCCCCTCCTGAGAGAGGTAATAACATCGTGGGAGGCACTGAGAGGGGAATCATGCCGGATTTACACATCAAAAACCCAGGAACCATATGGCTTTGATAACATCCCCGACCTGATCTCGGGTTCTTCGAAACACATATGTCTTAGTTTCATTTCCACCGTTGAGTTCGAATCAAAGGAAATAACAGAAAGAACATTTGAGATTTACAACCAGAAAATCTGGTTCAATTTATAAAAAAACAACAACAAAAACAAAGCAGATGCTTCTTTTTTAGTACTTTAACAGGAAAAATTAGGCTAAACCGCATGTTTGGGAGCGTTTCCTGATGCGGATTACTTTAAATTTACTACTGTTGTGCGCTGTTGTGTGATGTTGTGCGCTGTTGTGCGCTTGTGCAGCAGCAGGAGGACGGAAGCACGAAGGTGAGGGGCTTCGTGCGTCTTCCTGTTTTATGTGCGACGCTTAAACTCGGCTCGGAGAAATTATATACAGTAAATCCAGGACCGGATGCATAATTTAGCCACACTTCTTTTCCCGCAGACAATAAGAACGAATAAAGAATATCAACTCCCCCGAGACGGAATATCTTTGGATTTTTAAGTATTTATCGTGCAAAAAGAAAGGAAAAAGATATTAAATGTCATCCCGCTACATTTCCTTTAAAGAAGGAGTCATTTCATCCTTTTTTATTCATGTTTATGAATTAACCTCCGGAGGCCGAAGCTTTTTATATGGCGTGCATTTTTAATATTTTTTCTACATATCTGAGATCAATGGGGTTCGGATAAGTTTAATAACTCGAATCTAACCTGGAACAGGTGGTTTTGCCTCTATAGGGACACAGGCTTTATCGTTGTACTCTAAATGTGTATTTATATATTTAAAGGTGTGTCATTTTGCTCAGAAACTCCAAATAACTTGATAGTAAAATGTTTGCATTGCACATAATTGCACAATCAGGACGGGGATTGGTTCACAAACGCATCAAACCAATTTATTTTAGATTTCAAAGGCCCAAAAGGTGGCCACGTCCTCATACGAGCGATATACGCGGGTCCTCAGCCGGCTATTTATGGCCGGCGACCTGAGCCGATAATGGCCGCTCCTGGCCACACGCAGTTGTCGGTCATTTATTTGATGACGGCAAACATCGATTCGGGGGCCTCCGGGGGAAACAAGAGCTCTCTTTGTTGCTTTACGCAAAGTTAATTACCGGGCGACGGCCGAGGAAGGCCCGGGAAAAGCGAGACGCCGAAAAAAGAGAGAGAGAGGAGCAGACACAGGAGGGGAAGAGATTAGGCCGCTGAAAGGAGGGTGGACGGAGAGCAAGGAGATGGGAGGGAAGACGTAAGGAACAAATGAATGAATGTATGCTCAGAGGAGAATGACAGGAAGGGGAGGAGGAGGAGGAGGAGGAGGAAGAGGAGGGGGAGACAGTGGAAAAGCTAAACAGGCCTAATTAGACACCTAGGATACTGGAGTTACTCTGACAGGCATCCTTCCAGTCACAGCCGGAGACCAACACTGAATTTAGATTGTTTTCTGGCGCTTTATGCTCCGTACAGAGACCTGTCGGGGGTTTTTTTTGTGGGGCGGTGCTTTTCCAGCCCCTTCATCCGACCCCAGTCAGGAGGTCTAATCTCCACTAATCCAAACAAACCAGGCCTAAAAAAAAAAACCACGTTTCCCCCCCCACAGCGATCCGGATCCATCCTCACCTTTAGCTTGGACTGGAACTCCCGGGATTTTCTTCTGGCCAAGACCTGGATATGACTGGATACCTGGAGAAGGAAAGAGAGGAGAGGGGGAGGAGAGGGTTAAAGGAAGGAGGGGGGGTGAGGAGGAGAATGGAAAAGAGAGGAGGAAGGACCAAACAGTGTGTTGCCATGGTTATGAAAAGGATTGTTGCCATACTGGAAGTACACAGAGACACACACATGCACTACTCCCCCTGACAACAGTGAATAGACCCATCTATGCACATCTTTTGAGAGAGCAAAAAGACACCGGGGAACACGGGCCCCGGCGCGAACTACACTCCACCACCATGTTCGGCCCTGTTTTATAAAAGGCAGCCCCACAGTTGGTGTTTTTACTGGAGCGGCTGGGTTAAAAATCTCCTAGTTCCTGTTCTTATGTGGTCGCTTAAGTAGCCAGAATAATTCCCCCGCTAAGAAAAAAAGCTCTTGTTCTTAAATTCAATCTATGAAGCACAACAATTTGTAAGCAATCTGGGTTTTTCTGAGATGTTCTTACTAATATTTAAGTCTAAAAGCCTTTTTATACAAAAAATGTTGCTTGTGTGTTAGCAGGTTGATGAAAATATGCACTAAAAAAATAATACGGATATAAAATGCAATGGCCTTAACAAATATGGTCCAAGTTGTAAAACGTTCAGGACACTGAGGCCTTTATCTGCTGGGAAATTCTTCACAGTTTATGTTTGTACAGTCAGGCAGCTGCATTAGTTTTATTACTAAATGGTTCCCACCGGCTCCCATAAATGAATGGAAAAATGGTATTAAAACATTAAGAAAAAAGAAGCCCAAGCAGATATGACTACAGCCTGCATTACACCCACTGACCAGCAGGAGGCGACTCTCAAAGAAGCCTCTGAGGGCATTAAATATCTTGTCTATAAATCTATTATTTTATTTCTTCTCTAATAGCGTGGGTAGATTATGTGATAAAACAGGATATGCACCATGTTTTGTTTCAAAATGGACCGATAAATAAGGGAGGACGCTCCTTACAAGGGCTCAAAAGGCCTTTTGTTTACTGTTGTTGAAATTAATCAAGCGAGAAAATCATTCATTCATTGTGTACATAAAGAAGGGTATATAATGAGGGAAATCCAAACAAAATTGCCCTAAAAAACACATTAACTTTAAATCATTTGTGGTCACGAGGGGCAGAGTTAATAGAATGTTCTGGGATTGTTAGCGATTATGTCGTAAAGTTCTTAGTTATCTTAACTTTAAATTAGAAATGAGACCATTTTGCAAAACCTGAATCGCTAAAGTTCTTCCTTAAAACACAACTTCAGTGGGCTGCAGCTAATAATCAGCTATTTCAAAGATGTAGCATTAAAAAGCAGCCATGGATCTGACCTGTTGATCATATCGGGACCAAAGTTGCATTTCTTAATAACCGTTTTCTCAACGGGAGGCAAGTGTGTCCCTGGAGTTGCATAAGGACACACACTGTGATGTTTTCTTAACTTTCCATCAACTCCCTCTGCTTCCTTCCATCTGGCATCAGCACTTTTATGGATCATGTGACTCCGAACAAGTTAGTGGGCTCATCCCATCAGCTCCAACAAAGAATGCGGCATTCACAGACCTCAGAACTTAGAAAAACCAAGTGAGGGACATCAAAGGCACTCCTTTTTCCTAATCTCTACTCCTTCTGATCAGTTTGTTGGTCAATCTGAGGATAGATCTATTATCAAGTAGGTATTCGGCCCTAGTTTGACCCTGATTTGGTCGTTTCTTTCATTAAAAAAGCCCAAGATGGCCACAGAGAAAAGATCGGGTTTCTCCAGATTCTGGTGCTGAGGTCCCTGAGGGGGTTAAAAAACTCCTTGGTGGCAAGGCTAGCTATAGGGGTGGAGCCAAGGTGTTGAGGGAATGCATCTTGATGGCCTTAGGATTGCATCCCTGCTTTTTGCAGATGAGATGGTCCCATTGGCCTCCAACCAGAAAGGGGTAGAGGAGTTGGAGTATCTTGTTCATGTATGGTGGATCTGGAGGTCCATAGGTGGGATCCGCCCAATTGATGCAGACGCTGCGCCGAGCTTAAAAGCAAAGCTCCTAACTTACCAACTGATCTACGATCCCTTCATCTATGGTCACCAGCTTTGGGTCCGACCAAAAGAACGAGATCGCGGATGCAAGCGGCCGAATTGGGTTTCCTCCGCAGGGTGCATACTGCTCTGATTTTATTATGAAGAATGTAATATGTTGTAAATATGTATGAACTTCCTGTGGTTTGGCTGCCACTTTTGCCAGGTCTCTCTTGAAAAAGAGATTCTGAATCTCAATGGGACTTCCTGGTCCAGGAACCAGGCCGACCAGGAGGAGTTCAGAGTGGAACCTCCATGTCCAGAGGAGCCAAACCAGGAGACTCAGGATCATCTGACCCTGGTGAGGATACCCAGAGGGAACCCCAGGACACGCTGGAGGAACTATGTTTCTCAGCCTGGAAAGGCCTTGGGATGAGGAGTTTTCAGAGGGGGGAAGGGGAAGTCTGGGCCTACCTGCTAAGATGCTGACCCCCCGACCCAACCCAGGATAAGTAGAGGGAAATAAATGGATGGATGGATGGATGGATGAATGGATTAAATGTATAAAATGTATAAAATAAACCTGTAATTTTCCTTTTTTCAGCTTTTTCAGCCAACCTTTGTGCCTGCTCTCTCACTGTGCGTCTATAATCCCACCATACCGTGATAAATACCGTGTGATTAAATGTAACACAGTCCTGTTATTACCTGTTTCCGCGTCCGCGTCTTGCCCGTTCGGAGTTTGATGTATCTGGCTATCAGCTCGTTTCGACCTGGAAAGAGAAGACGTGGGAGTCATCCAGTGGAGTTCGATGCGTGGTGGAGTCGGGTTCCAGCTCAATACGGCCATTTTGGAGGACCACCATCCAACTTATTCAGCACGCATGTGCCAAAGTCGTTTTGAGGGGATCGTCATACCCCGAAATGTTAGCGGTATTAGATTAAAACTGTGACACACCAGAAACACACTCGGAAACCATCGCCAATCAACCATTTAACACTTTAAACAAGCTGTTTACTCTGGAATATGCACAGAATGTTGCTCCGTATCTGTAAGATTAGGTAGCTCCTGTTCAATCCTCAACCCGTATTTATTTACATCACATAACTTTGTCATAACTCCTGCTATAATTGCTGTGAATAGTATTATCCATCTGTATAATTAGTTCCAACACCTCAGTCATCCATTGTCTATAATTTTGTTGTTGGTTTTCAACTGTAAATAGAGTCCATGTGCTCAAGCACCCTGTACATTCCCTTTATAAACCACACAAACAGCCCCATAAAGTCAATAAACTGGTTTTTAGTCACAGTTTCTGAAGATTTTAATCATCTGACCAATTAAATTGAGCCATATATAAATGGGAGCAGCTTCAGGGGGATTTATCTGATGGACTTATTAACTTGGGTTACTGTTTCCTGTCCAGTAAACGGCTGCCCTTCCTGGTTCTCATGAAGGTTACTTCCTGTTAAAAGGGAGTTTTTTCTCCCCACAGTCCCCCCATGCGTGCCCAGGACGGATGTTTAGGCCCAACCTGTTGGCTACTTTTGTATAACTTCATACAAATTTGATCAGGTTTGTCATTTAATTGGTTATAACTGGGTGGATTATGATTGTTTTTGTTGGCGGGCGCTTTACACATAAAACTGAATTCAATCAATTTAACTGTCGAGAAGATTTTTATTCATTTTTTTGTCCATTTAAGTGTTGTCAGGAGACATTTACAAGCAGGGGTTGTTTCTTTTCAAATCTGATTGAGAAGCTCAGATTTCTCTCAGACTTTAAAGTCCGGCTTTATCCAAACTAATACGATCACCAGTTTTTTTCTGTGTAAAAAGGCCACCTGAGGACAGGCCAAACGACCGGACCTCCACTTGGATCTCGAGCCCGTCTCACCGACGTGCGACCAGAGTGGATCCGGGCCGACGCGTTTCGATTGGATCTCTCTCACAAGCGGCCGTCACATGACCCTGACAAACAACTTAGTGGCTGATTTAGAGCTGTTGACCCAGCGATCCTGTGACGTGCAGTTTCACATAGAAACGCTGTAATCACCGATACCCCCGTTGAGCCGTCCACACACACACACTCGCACACACACACACACGCACAAAATCACACACACGCCACGGCCCAGAATACACATGACCCAACAATGCAGGCATTCATGCGGACCGGCCGTCCCCTGATTAAAGGAACCAGCAGGCCAGCTGTACCCATGCTTACGTGCGTGCACACACACGCACACACACACACACACACGCACACACGCTTACAATGCTGAATAATTCAGCCCATTCAATAGGCAGCACAGCAGACTCAGCATGACCTGGCTAGTATAGATTAGTGACAGAGAGGGGGACAGAGAGGGGAGGGAAAAAAAGAAAAAGCTCAGAAAAAAAAACACAACTTTAAATCCAGAAAACCTGTGACAGAGAGGTGTGTGTGCGTGTGTGTGTGTGTGTGTGTGTGTGCAGAGGTCTCAGCCGCCTGGTCACATTACAGCTTTACGTTCATTGAGAGCTAAATACATCAGAAAGATTGCGATTAGCGGTGAAATGAGGTCATTTGACCGCCGCCCGTGTTTGCTAACGAGCGAATTTGGTCCGCGGTGGCTCGGTTTTGGTTTGGTTTGGTTTGGGCCGTTTTTTTTCCGCTCTTGGCCCGCTTTTCCCGCCGCGGCCGAGTGGAAAACCAAAGTCAGGCCAGCTGGCCAACCGATGGTCAAGATCCGCACGCAGCCAAACCTCTACACACACTACCCAAATGGCTCGCAACAATAGCCCCGACTAACAAGCAGATGGTGTTTGTGCGTGCGTGCGTGTGTGTGTGTGTGTGTGTGTGTGTGTGTGTGTGTGTGTGTGTGTG